GAATGTAAGTATTTCTTCCTCCTGTCGGATCAAAGACAACATGAGCTCCTAATGCTGGACTTGGGAGTTGCTTCACTGTTGGGAAGTTTGTGTGCTTCACAATACATATGAGCCTTTCCCTTTCTGAAGATTTGACTTTGAAACAAGAAGTAACTTTATAATTTGCTGTAGCATGCATGTAAGTTACATGCTATGACCTTCTGGGAAACTGGGAGATGGTCCTTTTTCACTGAGCAGCAAGTTGTACTTTGTATGGTTCTATCCAGTACTTCCCCTTTAAAGATGAAAGCAATTCTTGAGCAGATGCATCTCAGCCTAGCTGTTGTCAGGTTGTGGCTCCACAGCTTAGTATTTTCCCTTAAAACCTGGATTGTGGTTCTGTCCTGTCCCTGTTGGTTTCTTTGGCCTGGGATAGCTAAACTAGGTTAAAGCCAACACGTTTCAGCTCTTGAACAAGGACACGTGGGCATCTTGTGTGTGTCAGGTAGCCAGCCCTGAACTACACTGCCTGCTTGAGTTTGCCCAAATTAGTGCATGTTGTGCTGAGGCCTGAGTGGCTGGTCTGTGCCAGGCAGTTGGCTCAGGATCGTTCCCACAAGGATTCCTCTCCCCCTCAGCTGCTCTCACTTCTCTCTGCCTGCTGTGCTGGCAACACTGGGGCATTGGTACAGCTATCCTTAGAGAAGCAGTGTGGCTCTTGCCTTGGGGATACTGCCAGGTCCAGCATCACGAGAACTTTATGAAACTCCCCCAGAAAATCTTTCCTTATTATTCTGTCTTAATAGTGACACGCAGTGGCAGCATAACACAGCAGAGGCATACGAGAGTAGTCTTGTACAAGACTGTAACCGTAAATAGATCATCTGTTTTAAAGATACATGAACAAGACTAAGATTTTTAGTTGCTGTACACTGACAAAAATGAGGAGGAAAGGCCACCACAATGTGCAGGACCAAGTTGTTGATGTACGGTGAGGAGCCCAGCTGCTACTTATAACACCTGACAAGTTGCAACATGTAAAAATGTGTTGCGGTATGTAAGAATTTTTAACAGTTACATATTTTTCTAGTAATACATTAAGGTCTTACAGAGTTTTCCTGTGTTCTTGGTGATAACCCTTAGTGGGGATTTCTTCACTTACCTCCGAAGTAGACATGCTTGGGCTGAGGGCAAAATGCAGCACACTGGGAGAAGTTACAAGTCCTTTACAAGATAATGGCTCTTTTTTTCTCCACCTGGTTTTCCAACATGCAGCATCTAAATAGTCTCATCTTGTCAATGTTCATCTTGATGATGGATAAGCTAGAGTGTTCTTGTTAACGTGCAATATTGTTCTCCCAAACCTGCCATATGTTACACACATATAAACATGTGCAGGTCTACTCCAAAACCTCCTGTTGGGATGTCTGCCAGCTGGAAAATATTATATCCTGGATAGAACCCAATATCAAACGTAATGTTTACACATATTTGTGTCCAAAAGGACAGTACAATAGTATGAAGACACCTAACAAACAGGATAGATGACATGGACAGCAGAAACCCCTCAGAAATATTCTGGAGATTAGCACGTTTTCCAGGTGGCTGAGTCAGGGTCTTGTACATTCCTGTTGCAATGACATCCCTGGGTGACATTTAAAGCAATATGAAATGGTAACATTGATTGCCTGATCTCCAAGAGCTTTGTGGCTTTTTGGCTAGACAGGATGGGCAGACCATGCACGTAGATCCCCCTTGTATAATGTGTGATATGACAGCTTGAGAAACAGTGGTAAGAGCCGAAGTAACAGGATTTGCATTGTCTGGGGCTTTTCATTTGCAGAAGTGGACTCTGGTTAGGATGCCTGTTTCCTTACCCTGATGGTACATTATGCACTTTTTCTCTTAGGTTTTTCTTTTCTGTCTGCTGCATGTTTTCTGGAAAGTGCTACTGTTTTATTACCTCTTTCCTTTCCTCCCTTTTTCCCATGGCATTGCATTGAGAAACAGAGTGTGGACCCTCAACATATGTTGCAGATGAAATAAGCAAAGTAACTGATTTGTAATAAAAGAACTGGAAAACTGCACTGCTCGTTGATTCCCCACTGGGTACCCCAAGCAGTGAGTTCAATAACAGATGCTGCAACAGTCCATGAGCTGACTCCTCCTTCCTCACTTCTATCTCCTGCTGAGAGAGTGCTCTTTGCCCCTCTGTGCTGGGGCTATGCTGTGGAGGTGGGTGGCTGAGCAAAGCTGGAAGCTGGGCATGGAGCAGGGGAAAAGGGAAAGCAGCAGATTTGTCTAGGAGGGATGGACTGGTTGACTGGGACACCTGCAAAGTGAGCAAATGCCTTTGCAGAGCTCTCAGATTGTTTAGTAAAGACAGGCACCCATGTAAGCACAAGGATTGGTGACAAGCATATAAAAATAAATTAATAGAAATTAGGCTCCTTTCAAAGTGCGTGTGCTCAGGTCATGAGTGAAGGGGAGCTCCAGTTACACAGAGGCATTATTTCCTCTCCTTTGGATGCAAGAAGCTCCTGACGACTGTGCCATGGAGGTCTGCAAAAGTATCAATAATCTGAAATAAACTCCTGCTTCACTCTAACAAAAGCTGAAGAACTGGGAAGAGGTGGCCAGTTCTTTTCTTGTGCTCCTAGGTAGGATTTACCCTCAGGAAGACACAAAGTTGTAATGACTGCTCTGGTTGCCTTGGGGCAGATCCCTAATTGTCACACTACTTTGCATAGACATGGGTTTGCTCTGCATCTGGACAGGATCATGGTTGTTTTTCCAAATATGCGTGGTACCTGCCCAGCCTTTTTCTGCCAGCCAAGGAGTTTTCTCTGCTCTTAGAGTTTCTTGGGCTTAGGATCTTTTTTTACCTCGTGTCGCTCTTGCTCTTCCCCCTCTCTTCTCACAGACAGCAGCTGTGTAACAGAAGATTAATGTTTCCCCCTACCCACTCCCCATTCTTTTGACTGCAGAAGGGTGGTCCTTTCCTCTCTGGTGGACGGAGCAGAAGAGTATCAACCAGGTGTCTGCAGTCAGCTTAGCCTGGTGATCTGGGAGACTGAGGGCCTTAGACAGAAAGCTGTCTCAGCTTCATTCAATTAGTATGATGAAGCACAAGGCTGTGACCAAATACCTGTGCAGGAGTTCACAGGGGCCTAGTGGTTGACCTTTTTTTTTTTTAATTGCTTCTGAGTTTGTGATGGTGCTTGGTTTGGCAATAGAAGGTCCAGCAGTAGGTGCATCCTTGACTGCAGGGTCCATGTTCCACAAGTGAGCATCTTGGGTGACTGCACAGAAATGGGGCGGCCGGCGCTTTCCCTTTCTGTGCCTGATAACCTCAGCTCCAAGCAGCCCAAGAGTTTTTAAAGATCCTTAAATGAACCTCCTACTGCTCGCACTGCATAATGGAACAGCTGAAAGACACGAGGCTTCAGCGCTTCCAGTTTGAGAAACCTGTAGGAGCTGGAAGGAAGATACAGCGTTTGTCCCCGTGGTGCCTGTCACTGCAGCTCACTTGCTTCCTCTGGAGTGGGTGTTCCCCTACAGGGCTTGTTGTCTGGGACCCATAAATGGATTCTTCAAGAAGTGCAGCTTTTATGCTGGCACTGTCCTCTCTCCAGAGCCAAGCATGAGGAGATTTTGCATTCACAGAATTCTTAGTTTTTCACAACACACATTTGTAGCACAGAACTTTCTAGAGGAGGTGATGCCAGAGCATCTGTGCAGCACCAGTGGTAGCAAATAACCTGGCAAGCTGAGTAGCTGTCATCATGGCTGTTATGTATTTTTATTACCTGATATCGTTTACATTGCTGTCTGCCTGACTTCTTCTCCTCTTTTTTTAAGATAATTAACTATCTAGGATGGGGAGTTTTGCTAAGCTGTCTTCCAAATTGTATCAAGCTTAGAAGATAGTACCATAATGGTGCAATTGCCTGGTCCAGTGCTTAGAAGTAAAAGAACTAAGACAGTTCCCACAGCAAAGATCAGTGCTTTGTGAAGGAAATTTGAGGTTTATTATATGTTTCAAGCTAAAATTGGTTGTTAAATTTGGTCCTGGAAGGACTTTTTAAATTCGTGAGCATGAGGCCTAAACAAGAAAGAAAAATATGCTTGTGGCCAAGTCTCAGAGTTTTCAGATCTATGGAATATAGGATTTGTTGTTTCTTGGTTTTAAGTTCTACATATTTCTTTCAGTTTTGTATGAAAATTGATTAATCTGGAAAAAGGAAAAAAAAAAAAAAAAAGGAAGACTGATCCGTTAAGCTAATGACTGGGATGAATGGTTGGACTTGATGATCTTCATCCCTTCCAACCAGGATAATTCTATGACTTTATGATTCTATGAATGTCAGCATTTGCAGGAAAAATCAAGATGGAAAACATTTTTTTATTTTTATTTTGTAACTCTGTATATGTTTTTGTGGTGGCTCAACTAATATAATGTTGTCTTTACTAGGGGAGGCTTTCAGAGCAGCAGCTGCATGTTGTCTGGTACATACACAATACTGACTTGCATTAAAAAATGGCTTAAAGTCTGCATATGTGGGAGAAGGTTTTTGACATGTTTAAAAATTTAAAAATCTGCACCATTATAGTCCTAAAAAGTAATTCTTCTCTTTCCTCTCTCCATCTTCACCAGAGAATCCAAATCACTTCTGTCAGCTATTTTCCTTCTTTGGTCTGAATTTTACCATGTGTTAACTGGACAGCTCATTCATTCCCTGCTCAGCAGCAAATGTCTACTGCAGACAGTGCTTCCTCCTTCTCCCAGTTCTTTCAAAATTATATTAACAGACAGGACACTTCTAATATGTTACAGAATTCTAATGTCGTATTACTAGGTGATGGGATAGTTCCTGTATCATTTATGAACCAGTGTAAAGAAAATGTCATTAATTCACACATTCTGAATCTTTTTCCCCTCTTATTTTTTTCATAAGTGACTCTTCTGGGTTTTTTTTGTAAATAATTACCTAGCTCATGAATGGTGAAATGAGCAGCTAAACACTGTCACTTCTTCCTCTGACAGAAACTTGGAAGCGACCCTAACCTGTTTTCCATCTTTAAAGTATTTTCCCAGAGTCCCTTCGGTGGCTGATGGCTACACAACAGTTTGAGTCATCCAAAGAACTGATCCTTCAGTTCATGCACAAGAACAGGATGAACACGGAAAGCGACATCAAAGGAGTGGTGCCTGGTGAGTAGGACAGCCAGCCAGGCAGCCACAAATCCCTCTGCTCTTTAAAGGCTGCGTGTGGCATTGCTGGCCAGAATCAAATAACCTATTTGCTGCCTGTAAAATCATCTCATTCATTCATTAATTCATTCATTCATTTTGCTTTTCTTGAGAAACAATTCCAAACTGCAGCACCGTGTTTAAAATTACTCAGCCTGTTGAACAGTCCTAGAAATTATAGTCTCACCTTGCAGTGTCCTATGTCTTTAGAGACATCTCTTAAAGAATTTTGCTATGGCTACAGAGTACACCTTCAGCCCTGTGTGCCTCTGGGAACTGTGTTTTAAGGAAGCTTCTGGCAGCCCATCATGCAACACTTGTTTTGTTGGTGTGGAAAAGCAGCAGCACTCAGACCCCAAATTCCAAAGCACCAGCTCTGTGACAGACCTAAACCACATTATGGTTCCTCTTTAAAGCCTTGCTCCAAGAGCCATTCTGCTCTTCTGCATCATCTGAGTGATGCTGCTCTGGAGGCAGAGGGGAGCAGGAAGCAGCAGTGGTTGAGAGTCTAAATTACCCTTTCCTTGGTTTATTGGTGATTTTCAAAAGAACTGATTCTTCTTGTCACTGACATTGTCACTGAAATATCCGTGCTTCTCTCTTGCCAGGTGCTTTGCAGAAGACACTGTGTGTGTGTATGTTTGTGTTTCTAATTACAACAAAGGCAAAAAGTTTCTGCATCTTCATCTCACCCATGCACCTGTCAGATTTGTATCAGGTTCCCCTCTTCCCTCTCACAGGCCTGACCATGCCCATAAACCCCCATTTTGCACTGTCACTCGCAGCCTCTATCAGACTGCCTACTGGTCAGAAAAGAGTGGAAACGTTTGGGTTTTTCCAGCTTTTTCAAACCTTAACTGCTCTGACCCCAGGGGCTGCCGGGAGACCTTACCCATGGGTGAGGGTGATGCTTCCTGCATTGACCAACACTCCTGCCAAAAGTCTCAGGGGTGACTGTAGCTTCGGTCAGTCAGAGCTAAAGGCATCAGTAAGCCCTGCAACAGGCTTCATCAAGAATGGAAAAAATGTCACCATTAACATCAGTGCTGAACGATGAAGCAGTCTTCATCAGTGAAGGGTGAAAAAGTGGTTTGGATCTGTGGTGTTCACACCCAGGTCACTGCTGTGATTTTTGGTGCAGCTGGCAGACTGGTGTAATTTAGCTTGTTTGCTTGTGAATTGGGTGTCTGGGGCAACAGTTCCTGGATCTGCATTGCACACAAGATGGCTTTGTAATGTAAATGCCATTTTTCTGGCAAAGTTCAGAAAAGCTGGGGGGTATATGATCAGTCATTAACCTGGTGATCTGCATGCTCTCCACCTCCTTTTAGCAGATCTTCCCTAGAATTAAGGGATAGATCTTACAGAAACCTTATCTCTGAGGCAATGAAATGTGTCACTGTTGGATTTGGAGTTTTCCAACCAACTCTAAAATAAGGTTTTTCTCAGCTAGTCAGCTTCTTGATTTTGTGGGTGAAATAAAATGCATTCCAGGGGAAAGAAAAAATAAATTACCTGAGTTTCCTTTGATGAAAACGATAAAGATGCAACTGTGTGCTACAGTGATTTATTTAAGCTGTGTGTAATGATATAGTCCGTGGAGGAATGTTAAGTATCAAAATGGTTTTATGACTATTATTCGTGGCTGATTACTTTTTCCAGCAGTTTCATGGTAGGAATACATTCCTCTTTAAGGAGGGACTCCCTTTCATGTGCAAAGCAGAGCATTATTATGCATCTTAATGCTTTGGATTCTCTGCCTGAAAATAGATTTAGATAAAGCAGTTGTCAGTACATTACCCTTTTCAAACTTTCAGCAATAGAGAACATGGTCATTTCTGCCTCCTTTCTGAGCTAGATTTGTTGGGAGTATTGTTGGGGTTGTTTATTATTTTTTCCCTCACTTTATTTCTTTAAACGCTCTCTACAGTAAGACTTTCCTGCCCCAGCTCTGGAGAAATGCTGCAGTTCTGTAGGGAGGATGAGAGTGGAGCAGTATCAAAAGGATGAAATGAACTTAACTAAAAATTTTGGAAGGACCTTCTCATGCATGTTGACAGTCTGAGTGAGGACAGGAGAAAAGTAGAAATCCCAAATGAAGAATGTGAACAAACCTCAGGCCATTTGTGAATAAAGCATTTCTCTGCTTTTGTGTGTTATGATCACAATCACCCACCCATAGTAGCAGCTGTAGCAGGGAATGGGTGAAAACCTGGTACTTGTCTGGGAGAAATGATGCCACCCGAGTCTGATACAGATATCCCCTACTTCCTCTTGACTCCATTGTTGAGCTTTCCTACCTGCCTAGTGCTAGTTTTGTTTGTGATTTGCTTAATTCTTTGTTTTCCATCTGAACAAGCTGGAAATGGTTTTGCTGTAGTTAGGGGCCATTGTGTTGCTGCTGGTTGTTCCTCACTGCATTGTGGTGACAGCCTCCGGTGGTTGAATTACTCCCAATATGTTTGAAAGATAAAAGGCTCAATTGCAGTCCCTTCCAGCTGGAAACTCCACTGTAATTTTGCTTATACCTACTAGTCAAATTAGTGTATCCTGTGTAACAGGTTGTTACAGTAGTTTCGTAGGTACCCATTTTGGCAGACAATGTAAGTTTCATAATAAAAATAAGAAGTGTTCAAATAGGTGAAATGTTTCTGGAATGGAAGAAAATGCAATTTTGAATTGTTGTACAAGCAAAAAACAGGCTTATTTTCTCTTCTGAACAATCACACCATTCCTATTGCCTGCTGAAGGCTTTTACTGGTACTTTTGCCTACCCTGCCCATAGTGGAAAGTGCCATGAACCTTCTATAAGGCTTGTTGGCTCCACAGGGAGGTGGTTCACATGTTGGGTAGGGAAAAACAAAAGCAAAGTTTACCTGCTATTTTTTAATCTATCTATAGTGTGAGAGCAGTTTGCCAGTTCTCTTCTGGGAAATGCTTCTGAAGAGAACAACTGAATGTCTGGACAGTGGTCCAGCTGCAGTGGAAAGGTCCAGCAGCTGTGGTAACCCATGGCTGCAGAAAGTGAGCATAGGCAGTTTGATGGGCAATGCTCAGCCAGCAAGAAAGTATGCATGGGAAATGAATTAAAGTAAGACAATGGATGCTGATCAGAGTCCAGAGTGTGGTTAATTAACATTGCCCTTGTTTTCTTGAGTAAGCTGCCCCAGGGGTGTAACGTAGTGTCTGTTATTGATTGCAAAAGCAAAGGAGAGCTGCCCCCTCAACAGCCTTAAGTGGCTTTATGTTCGAATGATTGGTGCATCTTGTGATTTTTGGCAGGAATAATTAGCCTTCATAAAGAGATTTTTGGTCTTATGTGGTCATATTTTCTTTAATGCTTAAGAAATTTGAGTGTGCTAATTCGACCTGGTTAAATTATCATTTGAGTCTCAAAATTCACTGGTTTGCCCAATGCTTTGCCCCCTCTAGAAATAAAAGTTTAAATTCATTTTTGCATCAAGAGAATTATTTTCATCCAACTGCATATTGAAATGTCATTTGTAAAACAGGCTTAATGAGTTTTGTTGACAAATATTGCAAAATGTTATCCAAAAATTCAGCTTCAGTAATGAGCAAATGAAATAATTTTGATAAAATTAAGTCAGCCCTGGCAGTTTCTCCAAAAACTTCCTCATCTCTTCCTTTTTTTCCCTGTGGAACAACAAACAAACATGCATTTTAGTGCAGCTGCAGGACAGTAATTTCACCTGAGTGAGACAAATGCTAAGGAAGCACAAAGATCTGCCAAAAGAACAGAGAAAAAAGCATTTAGGGGACTTGGAAATCCTAAAGCTCCAATTGTCTTACACCTTTAAAAGCATGTTGTTTATATGGATTTCATTATTTTGGTAGGATACGTTCATGTGGGGTGAAGGGTCTGTTTGCTGGCTGGAACAGAGTGGCTGCTGCAAGCTGATCTTCACTGCACCAGCACCCAGCCCTGCCAGCCATATTTGGGTGTGATGGGAAATGCACCCCCCGAGGAGTCGGAGTCGTATCAGCAGTTACCTGAGTGCCAGGCTTGATGCTTCCATGGAAACCTACCTTTGTGCAGTTATCTTTATCTTCCCTGTGGTGGGAAACATTTCAGATATTCCTTAACAGAAGAATCACTGATTGACCAGGCTGAATAACAAAACCCCATTTTTGCTCATCTCTAGATGAAAATTGGAGTGCTCCTGTGGACAGACAGGTTATAGCTGTTTCTTTCCAAGGTTCCTCTCTAAGCTTAGAAAAGTAATATTGGTGTATTTACAAAAGCTGCCAGAAAAGATCAGGCATCCAAGTAGATGCAATGACTTTAGCATGTAGGACATGTGGTAGAGAGGAAGAAAGGGTACAATGGTGACAAGTAGCATGTGTGTGGATGTGTGTGGATTGCAGTTAGGAACACTGTGGTTTTCAGGGGCTTTCCTCTTAATGAAAAAAAAAAAAGAAAAAGAAAAAAGAAAAATCATTCAGCTTTTTTGCTACTGAGCAACATGCTGGCATGACTTTTCTTTTATACATAAACTAGTTTCCTGGGGGTCTTTTTGCTACATGTTTTTTATTTGCTAGGTCTAAAGCTTGGATCTATGTACTTGCATGCTTGCTTTTTTTTTTTTTTTTTTTTTTTTTTTTTTTTTTTTTTCCCATTGGATAAATAGCAGAGGGAAAAGTGAAAAAGCCTTATGTCTGAAAATCAGTCTCTTTCCTCACTGTCCCTGTGAGTAGGGAGAAGTAATACTTAATTCATATCCCTAGATAATCATACTTAAAACTACACTACTTTTTTAAAGCTTGTGGTGGAGGAAGAGCCAGGTGTATTAACACAGGAAAGAATGCAAGTTTCTTGGTCCTATAGTACAGGTAACTCCATTGGTGTTGCTACATACAAACTTGCCAGGTGTGTTCCTGTGTGAGACCCTGTATCTTGGTTGTTTAATGGTGCCAGAGTTAAGTATCCCATTCAATCCCAA